GTTTTGTTTCTGAGTAAGAGCATTTTCACAGAGTTTGTAAGGTGCATAATGTAGTCTTAATTTTTCAGTGTTTCTTGTGTTGGAAGTAGTTATAGGTTTCAAAATTTAATTCTGAGTTCCAGTAATTGCAAATATAGTTTTTATTTCTTAGCCATCATTTCTTCAAACAAAACGAGGACCAGTGAATTTACATCTGAAGCAAGAAATAATGTTAATTTTGAATGAGACAAGTCCTTAACTTGTATGGCAGTTCTCAGTGGAGACTATTTATCTGGTGCCATAGAAAGCCCCTGAGTTTACCTGGTGAGCTGCATTGAATCAACATGAATTCTGACAATGATATCACTCCATACAGAGCACATGTAGTTTAAAGCTTCTGCAGCATAGTGTAGGCCCCTGTAATCTATTACATTAAATAATTTGAAGGATATTTTTCTTGTAGCTACACAGGGAGCAGATACATGATATACAGGAAATGAAATTCTGATCAAGTTCAGAGCTTTCCACCTGCTTTAAAATGTCACAGACATCATTTCAGTTTTTATTGTGTCAGTAAGAACTGGGACTAATCCTACTGAAGTCAAGCATTAAACCTGCATGAGGTCAGAATAGAGTTACATATTTATTAGTTGTGTGTGTGGTGGTTCTCCCTAAAATTATATGGACGACATTCATTTTCCAGTATTCAGACTGGCTTTTTCTGCACATTATGGATTCAACAGAAACTGCTAAGGAGTAAATATTGTTTAAAAACAAAAACAAAAAACACATCCACTTCCTTTTTAGTCTTTCACTTTTTGTGACCCAGATCCAAATTATTGCAGGAGTGCCTGTGTATTTCTTAAAGCTTAGCATTTCTTAAAGCAAAATGGCAGTGAGAATCCTTCTCCACCAATATTCTACTGTGAGAGTCAAAGGACCTGTCCCTGGTGAAACCTGTGAGATGATAGAGTTGGCCTCATACTCTCTTTGCTTAGTTGTGAATAGGGAGGATGTTATGCATCCATACCATAACTGCCCTGTTTTTGTGCCACTGACCCACATCAGTCTCCATGGCATTTAGAAAAAGAGATGAAGGAGCCACAGATACTGCTGAGCAACTCTTCTGAATCCAGTTATGGTACTGTAGCTCTTTCCCACTCCCATATCATGGTTCCCTACAGCATGATATACATCAGAAAATTTCACAACACATTTTTGTAGTGAACCACCAACAGGGTAAGAAGAAACCTGAAAGGAAAATAGATCATTGAATAAAGCTACTGAATGAGATTTTTCCTGCTTCTGTCTAACTTTTGCTTTCCAGAGTCCTCATATCCCTCTGAGAAAACTGCATGTAGCACGCCTTTCTCAGGAACCCATATCTTCCATTTCTGTGGAAAAAAAACAAAACAAAAAAAACAACAACATAGAAAACATGGGAGTTTGAGACAAGGCTGTTCCCATGAGAACTTTCTTTTGCGTATTTTCTGTTATCTGATTATAGTGGGAGAAGGGTTTTCTTCAGCTTTACCCCTGCCTAGGACAACTACCATATCCTGACGCCAAGTCGCAAGAATCAAAGGCTGCCAAGATTATTGACCTAGGGAATATGTGCCTCTGAGTTAGATCCTGAGATCAGGAGGATCAGGAGGGCTAATCAGTCTATTTTACATGTCTGAGGGGTCTAATGTTAAAGGAACCAGTGTGATAATTATTAACCCACCCACATATTCCTTCTGCCCTTCAGCTTTTAGTCTTGCAGTTTCTACCTTCTTGAGACTTCAAACATAGGCCTCTGTGATATCTCAGCATAGACACTGCAACTGTGGTAGCACAGCTATTGTTTTTTGCAGAGCAGAAAAAAATTCCTTCCTAGAAGTTTTTCCTTGGGGCATAAATTCAGGAATCATGCTCTGACCTGTGATTTGGCTCATATATTGGGGTTATTGTGTGTGCTCTCTCAGCAGCATAGAAATGAACAAAATTCTATCTTCTGAACTTAATGGGAATCACATTTACTGGATGTGTGCAAAATAAAAAAGATAAAAAGTATGCTTCATATGAGCAGTGGGCTGTGTCATATATGAGTATAACTGAAGGTATTTGTAATAACTTCACAAAGCTGTCGTTCAATATTTTAAAACATATTTAATATCTGAGTCAGAGAAGCATATTCTTTCAATCTCATGTTTAGTTTAACTACCTACTATGCAAGTATGGGACTTTGTAAATTCTACTTTGTCCAACAAGTTTAAAGCTATATCTCTGCTCCATTAGCCGCAAAGAGTACACACTGCAAACATCTATAAGCAGTTAGTTGAGGTTCTTATTACACGAAATAATATGTGTAAAACACAGCCAATATTTGTATTAAAATTCCTTTCTCAGACACTGAGAACATAAAAAGGAATCAACAGGAGTTATTTACAATGCTAGACATGGTATTTTACTACATATTTCTATTTAGTTTCTTTTTCTTCTGTAAATTGCTGCTACATATATGTGCAGTGGGCATACCAGGCAGTTAAAATATATTTTAAAACTTAGATCTGTGGAATTAGATAGAATAAAGAATAACTTTTATGACACCTTGCCTTGTTTTGCATGGTGGATAATACTTTAACCATAGGGTACCCCTTATGCATTCAAAGTGCTGAAAACAGGGGCTGCATAAGTCTAACCAAGAGCAAGACTTCATCTATGTTCAGCTAGCAGAGTTAATTCCTAATTAATGCAGAAAGATTGATCTCAATTAATAGAGGTTCATTTTCCTTTTGAGTTTGCATTTCAGATGCTCTTGTGGTATTTCCTTTAACCTTATAGCATCATGAATGAGTTTTTCACCTGAGGTTGTAGCTGAACAGTTTCCTCAACTGCACGTTCCTAAATCTCTGTAAGTCTTTTGCCACCCCACAGCTCCAATTCCCTCCCTTTTCAGCAGCTATGGCTTTCCTCCCACTTTCAATGGAAATATATTTACTTAGGGAGAAGAAACATCACACCTTCCTCCTTAGAAGCCAACCTGAGCACAATAGCATTTTCTGTCAAGTGGTCTCAACATGATTTACAAATGATGAACAGTTCCCTCTCCTCTCTGTGGAAAAGGCAAATAGTAGAAACATCCTCTGTTTTAGAGAGGAGATAAATGATATGCTGCATCTAAATTCATATAAGGCCTACTTCTAGGCAAACAAGAAACATAAACTGAGGAGTACCCACTGTGCTTCTGTCAAAGGTTTGTCTGCCATCTCAACCCTTGGACACGCAGGAAGCAATCCTTGATTATCCAGCCCTTCATTAAGAAACTTGTAGCTCAAGACTGAAAGCAGAGCAGGAGATTTGAGAAGGTGGGTGTAGATGGTATAGGGCTGTGTCAGTCTCTCTCTTTTTGCTCCATATGGGGCCACTGTGCATAAAGCAGTTTTTCAAGCATGATTTAGAGTAGGCTGATCATGATCTCCCCTAATCATGTGGCTAACGTCTGCAAAATGGGACCCTGTGATTAAAATGATGGAAAATATAAGGTCAAGATATCAAAAGTCTAATTCCATAGTGAGAATACAACTTTCAGGTGCTTCTGGCTTCAAAGCACACCAATAAAACAAAGGAGAAATGTATATTTGGGCTCTTCATGGAAAGCATTATCATTTGCTGTTCATCAGAGGTACCAAGGCAGCTTGTGATGACCAATATATGTATATTTAATAAAATTATCCGGCTCATGAACTTAAGACATTTTAGGAAAAAAAAAGAGAAAAAAAAAAAAAGAAAAAAAAAAAAAAAGTAGTAGTATATATATATATATATATATATATTTTTTTTTTTTTTCTGACACGGAGTTTTGTTATGTAGTTTGATGGGAAATGTCATTGTTGAACTCTGTAATAACCTGCACAAAACCACACAGACTTACAGTGGCAGCGAATGGAGGACTTTCCCAAGAAAATGTTTCATTATCCTTATATTGCTTGACTTTTTTTTACACCACATCTGTGCTTGCTTCGTCATTCTGCCATCTGCTGTAACAAAATACAGGCTAAGCATTTTGGAAAATAAGCTCTCCACACATTAAAAATGCTCCAATCCTGAGCACAGCCCTTTATTTCTCACAGGCTGTGGAGCTTATTATCCTCTTTCTCCTTTCCCTCCTCCTCCTCCTTCATTATCTCCTCCTCCTACACCTCCCCCACTTTATCTTTTTCTCCCTTGGCCCCACTATCACACACTAGATGTACATAAGCATACCAATCATGTAGAACACAGAATCCCATTGATTTTGTCTCAGTGTTTCTATTAAATGAAATGAATGGCTATGCACTTTACTTCAGTTTGCAAATACGTCTGCTGAAAGATCAGAAATACCAGGTCATTATCAACAATTTTTAAATTTTGAAACTCCCAATCAGACTTGTTTCCTGTTTGGTATTGTCTGCTGATACATAATGTATAGCTGAGAAAAAAAGTCTGGTTGCTACAGTATTAAAATAACAGAGTATGAGCAGAGTGGTTTCAAGCACACTCTCTGTATAGTCCAGTCAAAGTTTCTTCCTGGTGCAGCAGTATAAATCTCTTGGTAGCAGTAAACTCACTACACAGACTTCATTCCTGAACACATGTTCAAAGGTGATAAAATAAATGCAGATGGTCTCCCAAAACCTCAGTGGAACATTTTTTACTGTAACTAAATGGACTGTAAAAAAATAAGGAAAAAGAAAAAAAAAGCAGAAAATGCAGTTTGATACAGACAGGCAATTTCAGAATAGCATCCAGTCATTTGGGAGAAAAGCTAAATAAAATGTGTGTTTATAATAATGTATTGTCAAAACAATATTGACAGAGCATCTGAACGACCTAATAGGAGTAAATTTTAAAATACTCAAATTAAACTAGTATTGTGAGCTGAGTATTTCAATTAACTACTTTAATATGCATACAAAAACTTTGGATAGGGAACTTCATTCATTGTGCTCTCACCAAAGTTGACAATAAAACCATCCCCAGCTACAGTGAAAACAGAATTAGGCCTTAACAAATTTATTACAGGCTTTGTTTACAAACTTGTTACAAAATTATACAGCATCTTATGTGTACAGAGGATTTACAAGAACATTTGACTGATGTGTGTGATTGCTCTGCTCTCTGGTTGAGATCTGCAGGTTTTCTTCACTCATGGCCTGATACTGCTTCCCCTGTAGTCAGTGAGATTTTTTTCATTGACTTTAGTAGAAGTTGGATCAGATCCAAAGAGTAATACTTCTGTTCATTGTTATACTGAGGTGGGAAAGAGACAGCCAATCTAATAACCTTATGCACCGTGTTTCTTTCTCATTTAATATGTTTCAGATGATCGGTGATAAATTTAATCTGAAGAGTTTTTTGTTGGCCAATTGTAAAACACTTGATGCATTGGTAAAGTTAAGAATCAAAGACCAGTTCCTGCTACCGGATCTATAAATTTTCTTTGAACCTAACAGAATGAACATCCCTTGATTTTCAGTGAGCAGAAAGAACAACATTAGGATTGATTCTGATGTTACTTATGTTGCTATAATAATACATTTTCTCACCTATATTCAATATACTTTCTCTGGATTTACAGTGATGTAAGCAAGTGCATCGCCCACCATGTAGGAACAATGAAGTCAATGAAGTCGCTAATTCATGGTTTGGAAGCAACACTGTCTAACCAAGCTCACTTAGTGTTCTTACCTCCTCTTCTCATATGGACACAGACCTACTTGCCACACAGAAGAATCTTAAGTTAATGATCCATGACAATATCTGCTCTCAATTACTTCTTGCAACACCTGAAAATATTTATTTGGGAATTCAGGATGTAAAATTAGGTTTATAACTTGGAAAAAAAATCAGTAGAACAGGCCTCTTAAAAATATGTTTTTCCCCAGAAGAAGCAAAATGAATGGGTAAGTTTTTTTTTTTTTGTTGTTTATTTGTTTGTTTGTTTTTTCTCCTGTTGAAACTTAAACATGTCTACTGGTAAAAAATAAGAAAAGTTCTGTTGAGGATTTTTTGTTTGTTTATTTGTTTTCCAAGGAAGAATTTAGGAAAAAAAATCTAGTCAGATTTATTAGATAGTGAGCTGCTTGTTACATTGCATCACCTCCTGCCTTTTAATGATTGCCTTGGTAGCAAACCTCTGAAGCTATTATTGCTAAAACCAAAGCTAGATTTTAGTCCAGCAAGATGATTTCATGTGAGGTAAAAACCCTAACTGCATGTTGAAAATTGAGAGGGTTCTCATAAAAACTTTTTTTATGGCCTCCACTACAAAATTGTACCTACACGTTCCAACCTGGTTTTCAGAGTCACATCTTTTCCCATGCTTTGCTTCATGAGTAACCTGTCCACTTTCCCAGTGGTTCTATAATGTGTAAGGCTCTCTGTTAGGGATTAGGGAAGATCACACAAATTGTTGCCTTTAATGACGTGCTGCAGATTTGAAGTTGGTTCTCCAGTAGTGAAAATGGTATGATTAAAGGCACTCTACTGACATGTTCTTGGGTACCCTGATCTCATTTTCATTTGTGATGCTGAACATGTTACAGCAATGAAAGATGTAACGCAAGAACTAAAGACCACTACAGATGTTTTTTTGAAGGGCTGGCATTTTTCAGCCCTGATTATGGATTAAGATCTATTTAGGCACAGATAACATATGTGGTTCAATCTTAATTCTGTTGATATCCATGACAAGGCTCTAATTTACCTTTGTGGGAATAAGATACCATCCAGGACATAATACAGATAATGTATAATAGGCCATCTCTTTCGGCAGTGTAATTGTTGGTGTCTCCAGTGGAGCTACATAACAATGCAAAAAAATAGTTTGAGGTATATGCAAGTATATCTGTCTGTGCTAAGTAACAGCTCACACCAGTGGCACCAGTGGGACAGAAGAACTTCATTGTAAGTATGGACTACCTGAATTTGAATCACACACACACACACACACACACACACACACACATGCACAAGTCCCTATGAAAGGTAACACACACACACACACACACACACACAAAAAAAAGTCCCTATGAAAGGTAGAAAGGTACCAGGTTTGCTGAGCAGTTCTACACATATTTTCCCTCCATTAAAAATGGGCAATGAGTTGTCAAGTAGACAAACAGCTTTGTATGGGTGTGTGGCTTTGATATCCATTCCAGGATATCATATCTTTGCTAAAATTCTTTAGCCAAGGGCTCTTTTAATGTTAAGACAGCAGCAGCTTTTTTTCTAATTAAAAAATTCAAACAGAAATGATGTAGCAATTCAAGCTAAAACTAATAGATTAGTGTGAGGAGGAAGAGGTCAATCACAATAAAAACTATATTCTGAAGAAATCATATTTTATGTATTACATTAATGATAAATTTAGATTGGTTCTTGGCTTCAGTAACTTAGTTACAAATATTTTTTAGATTTTTTTTTTAATGTTGTTTCTAGTATTAACTGGCAGCATTAGAAACAGTTGCAAAACAAATGTGCTTCAAAAATGTAGACAACAGTTGCTGGACTGTTAGCATTTATTCTGAAATGCTAACGGAGGGAAAATGGTCATTTCATTGGCAAAACTGGCATGACACACAGAAATTGTATTTTACAGCTACTTGATGCCTTTGACATTGACATCAGCTGCAGGCTACAACACATATTTTGGTTTTCATTTTGGCAGTGAGGAGTCAACACTGCATCCAATTAAATGTGAATGTATAGAGCAAGGGATGTAAATATGTACACAACTCTTGACATTGATCTGATTTTTAACAAGTTTACTAAATGACAGTCACTGGCTTGACAATACTGAATGAAGAATACTGATTTTACACAGAATTTACAGTCAGGTTATGGTATGCTGCCAACAAGCAGTGTCACAAACATAGTCTAAAAAAATCCAGAGTTGCCCACAGCAGAGGCACACACCCTTTACTCTTGTTTATTGGGAGAGAAAGCTTATATACTGTAGATTTGCTGAAGTTTAATAAATAAAGTCAACTTATAATATATAAAACAATATAAACATTTATATGCTACATGCATATCATATAATTTAAAGTAATAATTTATATATCAAAGAGATGCAGATTTATGTTCTTCCTATTTTTCTTGACAAGGCGCACACACAAGAGGTGTCTATTCTTATCCACCTCCAGCCTACAAGTTTATTGTTTTCTGAAGTCAGTGCCCTAACATATGTTTGGGATGTCTTGCATTGGGAGTTCCAGTGCTTGTCATCAATGCCTCGGCAGCCATTTTTAACAGGCTTGGCTTCTTTACACCTTGTTTCATAAAAGTATTGTTTAACTGGAGAGTTGCCTGTTTTAATTTCTCCCAGCACAGTTACCTGGTGTCCTCTAATGTCGATAGCAGATGATTTGTCCGTGACCCATAAGCTTTCACTGTCACAAACGGAATATTCCCCTCGGTGGCTCTTGTGCTCCGCATATCTTTTCCTCCGAGAGGTTCTGTTCACCACCACTGAATTTCCAATATAATCCTCCATGAGGTACAGCGGTGGTGGTTCCAGCGGTGTGTTGTCACTCAAGAGGACTCGGGGAGAGTTGTAGCGTCTCTGCTGCCTTAGGAGATCTGTATCCATTGAGATAACTGGCTGGAAATCAGATTTCACATTTTCATCTCCATCCACGTCCTGCTGAGCCTCTACTTTCTTCACCGTGTTTTGATAGTTTTCCTTTATATCTACTATCTGCTTAGAAAGCTTGTTTTTCAAAATGTCTGCCTGAATGAGTTTTATAATGAGAGAATTTATTGAATCTTCTGGCAAACTCCTTTGATCCATGTTGGTAGACTGGATGCCACGAAGATAAGAAAGAAATATCACATAAAACAAGATGGACATCACCTTGTTCACCTGTAAGATCTGCAAAGAAAAAGAAAGTCAATATAAAAGCAATTAAATAATGTTTACTAGGCTTTGTAAACATGAAAATTCTAATTTGTTTTAACATGTTTTACATCTTATGCAATTTACAGATACAGATAAACTATGTGTTTCTTTCAAGATATTATTTCATTTTATAATAAATACAACGCTTTAATTTCTTTTTTCAGGGTTTAATCAATCTCTCTTGCACCATTTAGGATGATCACACTTTTATTCATTGTTTGTACAGTGGGAGATATTTCAGTTATCTCCCTTCTCTACAGTGTTAGGTAGCTATTCTTATCAGTGGATAGAGGCCAAGTCACTTTTCCAGAGTCTATTCTGATGAGTGGTTTAGTTTCAAAATTGTAAGGAGATTAGGCAGAGTAAGAGAGTTTCTAGTGGTATAGACGAAGTTCTGACTTCATTAAGTAGCCACAATTTATATGTGTAGAAATGTCACAGATCGATCAAATTTCTGTTCATCAAATGTGTTTAACTTTACCTTAAGAGCATCATCATACACTGAGAAATAACACAGTGTTTCAACAGTGCTCTTTTTCTCTCATAAGGAAAAGTATTCTTGAGGAAAGAGGGCACAGTCTAGCAGCAAAATGGTGTTTCTTACACTTTGAACTTCAGAAAGCAATGGTTAGGATTTGCAATACAAGTGAGAAGTTCAGATAGATCCACAGAACATTTTGTTGTGGCTGTTTGCAGGGCTGGGACCTGTTTCTTATTCTGTTTTTAATGAAGTTTCTTCATTGCATCTTTATGAACTGGAGTGAAACTGGCTGTAGAAATATTCATGGACAGAAGGAGTACAGTTATCCCCTCCTCCTAACCCCTCAGTAAACAAACAAATAAATAAATAAATAAACAAACATGAAATTGAAGAGTCTTGTTCATATAGATCAAATGAACTCAAGACCAAGATTTTGAAAACTGTAGATCTAAAAGCCTGCTTCTTCTCTGTAATGTACTTTGTTATGCCCTGCTCTATATGGATTCCTGTAGTGTCCTTCTAATTCTAGCCTCTGAGTATCTTCTACAAGCTCTTTGGGCATTTCTGGTTAAATCCTTCTGTGATACTGTTTGCATACTGTTTGTGTAGTTAAGAACTGTGAACATTTGTCTAAGGAGGTTTTTTTAATTATTTTTTTTTTCCCTTGTGTATTTGCACTTGCATTTAAATGAAAATAATACTTATTGTAAAATACCAAATCATGGAAGCAAAACATTTACTTTGAAACACAGCAGTTTTATTGGAATTGCTGCATAGGCAGTGGATTGAAGAAGAAAACATCAAACTTATGTTACAGCACTCTCATACCATGTGGAAAGCCCTGGATGGTATCATGTGACTCAAAACAGTCTTGAACTTGGTTCTCCTACTCTGCAAACAAGTCCATCATGAGTCAAGCTGCTAGTACTCTGGAATAAAGGCACAGAGTTATAAAACTGTGGAACAGCTGGAGCTGTAAGGATCTGCAGGAGATCATCTAGTTCTATCCTCTTGCTCAAAGCAGGGTCAGCTAAAGTAGCTTGCATGGGGCTATGTCCAGTCATTTTTTGAATATCTCTATGGATGAACATTCCAAAACCCCTCTAGGCAACTTGTTCCAGTGTTTGATCATCCTCACAGTAAAACAAAACAAAACAAAACAAAAAGCGTCTTATGTTTCAGTAATATTTCATATACTTCAGTTTGTGCCCATTGCCTCTTGTCCTTTCATGGAACGCCCGTAATGGAGTCTGGCTCCATCTTCTCTACTCCAACCTATCTGGTATTTCTACTCTTTGGTTAGATTCCTCTGAGCTTTTCTCCTACTGGCTGAACAGTCCCAGATCTCTCAGCCAGCCTCTCCTCCCTTAATCATCTTTGTGGACTTGTTCCAGTATATCCATGTCTCTTGTACTGGGGAGCCCAGAACTGGACACCACTCCAGATGTGACCTCAGTACTGGTACTGAGTTGAGGTGAAGGTTCACCTCTGTTGGCCTGCTGGCAACATTTTGGGTACTTTGTATTTTCCCAAATGAAATTGCAGAGAAATCAGACTTCTTAAACAGAAAATATTGCACTTCAACAAATCACCATTTTCTGTCTAAGAAGGCAAAAAAAAAAAAAAAAAAAAGTTTTACTGGAAAATCCTCTATCAGCAAAACTTCTTTCAGCAACAGAGCAACAGTGAGTCCCCACTTCATAGTTTAGAACTGCAGCAAAATCAGAGCTACCCTCTGGATGAGTGATCTGTCCTTTTATGGATAAGAAATGTGTTTTCTCCATTCTCAGTTTGTCACAGTATGAGTTCAACTAAATCTAGACTGTTGCTTGCAGCAAAGTTATGCTTTGAAAAAAAAATCTAAGATTTCAGTTACTATACAGTTACTGTCATACCTAAATGAATACTAATTTAGTAACTTAGTGTAGATGGTTCTCAGAGCCAAGAAAGAGATAAAAAAAAACAAACAAAAAAAAACAACAAAAAAAAACACCTCTTCCTGTGCAATTTGGTCTTCCCTCATTAAATCATTCTCTTTATAACATAGTAAAAATATTTTAAAGCACATGTCTTATAGTACTCAGAGGCTAACCTACACAATGTATGACACAAGGCCTTAGGATGGTGAGCAAAGCTCGGACAATACTCAGCTGAAAAGCTGAAAGCATTATTCATGCCAGCTTGCAGCTGCATGTAATCACTGATCTGCTTAGTTTCAAAACTAAGTGGCACTAGCAAAATACACAAGTTGGAGCAGGTGATGAGGTGGGAAAAGTAAGACTGGAGTTCCTGCAGACTCTCCTTAATGTCATGCTAAACACGAAAAGAAAGGGTCAGGGAGTTCATAATTAAAGCAGTTCAAATAAACTGTTTTGCGTTTTTGTTTTTTCCTGTCCATGGCAAAACCATGTTAATGGAAAAAAATGTTTAAAAATATTTTGCTTAACCTAAAGTAAAATGGTGATTTGGTGGGAGGGGTGTTGAAGTACTCTGAAATTTAACTTTTGGTTAACTTAGTCTTAGCAGATTATTTACTGCAAAAGTTAAAAAGTTTCAGAACCAATCTTTGCAGTTTTTTGAAATGTTTTGGTGTGCAAAATTTGGAAAGAAAATGCAAACATTGGGTAAAAGAGATTACAGTTTTCAGGGGATTACTCTGATACAGTTCACCTAGGACGTGTATTTAGCTATGAAAATAAGAGGTGTGTTCAGAAATTCCAGTCCATGAATTGAAATTAGATTGCCCTTGAAATCTAGCACTTCAGAATATACTGTAGGCACTACTCTGGCTACAAAAAATGGACAGTACTAGGAAACTGCAGCTGGTTTATGGTTTTGTGTTTGTTTGAGCTTCACGCCTTGAAAGTGGAACGGTTTGTAGGGCTGGGCAATATTGTTTTTGATAAATGTCTCTTTGGCCTAAACAGAAATTTGTGCCCAAATTGATAATAATTTGCAAATTGTCACTTTTTTGTTGTTAAAAAAAAAAAAAAAAAAAAAAAAAGTGGTAACAAGGAGAGAAAAATGTAAAACATAAAGTATTTATGATTTCTTATTTGCAAAGAAAATCATTATGATGTTTCTGGACATGTATCAAAAAATATACAATACAATTCACAAAACAGAAACAATGCTTACTCATTATCATTCAGGAAGTAAGTTATCTATAGACGAGAATTGCATTCAGAGGCAAGATTTCAACTGAGGTATCCTACCTAAAAGAAGACTGACTTAACCGCCCAGCTCCTCGGGCATAGGCTTGTATGAACATCGGCAGAGGCTACTACAGCACATGAAGTATAGTTATTTTTTAATCATTTGGTGAATGGTATAAAAATCCCTCAAGAATATAGACCTTCACATCATTTTTTTTCCCTAGTTTTCTCATTATTATTATTATTGAAATTAAACTGATTCATTTCAGGTAGAAAGCTATATTTTGTTCAAGCCAAATATTTTCTATCAAATATTTTCTATTGATGAACATTTTGAGATATTTTTATTGATTTTCGATGTTCTTTAATGTTCTGTATGTAAATCCCTTAAAAGGCTCATTTCAGGTGTTTTCATAGAGTGTTTACAGTCAAGTAAGTGTGATGAGTAGTCCTAGAGATGGACACAATACTATTTAAAGTACTACAGGAAGTGCAGAGCAGATTCCTAATCTTAGAGTCTGGGCCCCAAATAGGCATAGGCAAGCATTTCCATGGTGACATCTGAATAAGAGCTCAGTGCAATAGCACAATCCATAGTTAAGTAACAGATTAAGTAGTGTTATTGGATACAAATAGATAAGATCCTAATTAGTGAGTGTTTCCCATTGCTTTCTGCCTGATACTTGATTGTGCTAGAATACCTGACCTCAGTTTCCGTGTTCATAAGCTGTCAGGTCAGCTGTGACATATGGCCTACTTAACAGTAAGGTGTATCATAGTGCATGATTTAAGTGGATCATAAGTATATATTTGATATAACCACATACCCAATTATACCAGTATAATTATCTTACTGTGCATTATCTACTACACACCTGGCCTAGATATTGTGTGATTGTAGAAGAGTTTAGACATCTCAGTGTGGATCCAGAAGAATCGATCTATTACCTTTTCTGGATTTACATCAAAATGTATCCCTTGTTGACCTACCAGTTTATGGAAAACTCATCATTTGTCTGGGAACTCAATCGTGGCTTATCATAATGGTATATAACTTGACTCACTCTGTGCTTATTGCCTCCTGTGTCTTCCAATTCCTTTTCTATTCCATGTATTGGGAGTTTGGGAAGAGTTGCTGTCACACTCCAGGAAGCTATTTTTCCTGAGTTGCTGAGAAGCTTTAGATCATGTTTGCTTTCATGCTGTTATTCTGTGTAGCTTTCTGGATATTTGGGGTATACCTTTGATGCTTCAAGCTACTGCTGAACTCTTGCTAGAGATGATTAAAAAAGATGGGGATGGAGGGTACATGATTCTCAAAGCAGCTATTAAATGTGGTCAGAAAACACTCTGTTATGTGAAATTTTGAAAAATATTATACATCAAGGTAGGAAGATATTAATCTCTTCAAGTTGGTCACTTTGCACAGTGTCAGTGCCCCATTACTCAGACATACTAGCCCTGGTTTCAAAAGTGATTGTAAACGTGTCATCAAGAGCGTCTTAAAGAAACTAGTAATAGAACTAAGTGACGATTACATGTTATGAATGGTGTAGAGGATTTATGGGAGCATATACTATGGTATGGTGGGAAAGCTAGCAGATCCTTGTAGTATAGAGCAAGCTATTAAAGCACTGAACAGGTTTGACTTAGAGATTGCTGGCATTCATGGCACAGCAGTTAAAAACAAACATTATGGAAAAGAAACCCTTATGCATTGCAAACGTTGCTTAGTGTAGCTTACTCGATTTTAATGGTTTATATTCCTGTGGTGTTGGCAGGATATTATTGTTATCTAATCTAGGTGTCTCAGAGAAGGTCTAAATTTAGGAGAATTAAATAAACTTACCTATTGCTTCCATTAAGAAATGAAATCCCCAACAGACTCTGGCAAATCACTTTCCACTCTTTTCAGACCCAATGCTTTGCATACTGTTGGGAGGCTTTATTTTGTTTTGTTTTGTTTGTGGTAATTAAAAAAAAAAATAATCTGTAATGATTTATTTTGATCAGTCTCTGAACAGTCTACACAGCTGAAAAGCAAAATGTTATTTAATATGTGCTGTGAAAACAATGAAATCCTAGTACTGTGAGACACTGCCTAAGTATTTACTTTTAAGTCATTGCTGAGAGGATCTGGAATAGAAGCAAAAGTGACTGGTGAATTTTGCATTCAGCATTGAATGTAATATGATTTATGTAAGTCAGCTTGAAGCACTTGGCACTTTCTGAAAATTTTAAAAGCAGTTTTTGTTCTTCAGACCAAGCAACTAATGATCATTTGTGGTGGCTGACAGCTTATTCAGGCTTTTGCCAAAGATGACAGTGTAATTATTCTCATTGCTTGCTAAGCACTGTTTTCACAAACTCATAGAAAGCAACTAGTAGCAGAGTGCCCTGTTGATTCCCTCATCCTAATATATTTGTTGAGAAGAAATGCAATCCTTTCCTTCTGTTCTTCAGGAAACAGTGAAAATGTACAGAATGAAAAACATCAATATGTCATGAATATTCAGATGACAGGAGGTGGAATATGAAACAATTGTACATTCAATTTTGTCCCATATTTCAGAATAGTAATTGACTATTGTACAATATGTGCCTGTAGAAGGATTTATTAAGGTAGATTGCTGTGGAGTGGTGAGTGCCCCAAGAGATATTATGACCCTCCTGAACATTTCCACTTCTCAAGACAGAAATTTCAACACATACAGTTTCAAGCTAAAGCTTTCACAAGAGCCAGACACATTAAGATGCCTAAGAATTCAGAGACAAAATCAAGTGGGACTGTGTTATGGCAGCTTTTACTGTTTACCCCCCCATTCTCAGGGCCAACCAAACTATAAGCTACAGTGAAGGAAGTTGAAGACAATACATTCCTTTTGCAGATGGGCTGGGAAATGGGGAAGCACACCATATCTGAGGAAGGACCATAGTTTCTTACAGCCCCACAGCAGGTCAGTTGCTTTTAATCATTCATTACTCAGGGCCATTTTCAAGAGAGCACACATCCGAGCACTGAGCCCCAGTAAGCTCCAGTGAAAGGTACATGTATAGACCTAATCTCTTACGGAAATGGAGTGCTGCCTACTGGGTCACTGACATTTCCTCTTTAAATAGCAAGACAGTTGTACACCCAAGTATGAAAATTCATCTGCACTTTGAATAAATATGCATTACTATTTATGATTAAAGTTGCGACCATGACCCAACAGTCATTACAGAAAGTTTACCCAACTGGTGACAGCTTTCTGAGGGACAGTTTTGTGGTAAGTCTTGCTGCGAGGGGTAAACTGGTTTCTGAATAGTGAAAGGCACTGTGTAGAACTGCAGCAATCTTGGCTCATTTCAGATATAGCTGATTGCAATGGCATGTGTGTCCACATGTGAACTTTCCACAAACATAACTTTTAGGAAATCAAAATGTGATCAATTTACATGTACCTGCCCACTTCCAAGAGAAAGGTCAGGAGCAGTTCTTCAGTGCTTACCTCATTTTATTTGGAACAACAGCTGCTTCTCACACCTTGTACAATGTTATTACATGTTTGCCCTGTACCTTCTTTCCCTGCCACTGACATAGTCTGGAGTTCAGCGCATTCAAGACTTCCCAGGGGCTTTTGACACTCTCCAGCATCCTCTAGCAATCCCATCAAGAGATTTGACTATTACTAATGTCTGATACAATATCAACTACACTAGCTACACTTCTGAGTCTGTGATTGACTACAGAAGTAGGAAGACCTTTCCTCAGGCTAAGTTTGGTCTTCTTCTATTTTAATTTCTTTCCTCACCAATATTTTTGTGACATGCTGCTTATACCTGTCTGCCTCTGCCCAGACTGTCACAGTATACTTTTTCATTAACCAGCTGAGTAATTCTTCTGTATATTGAGTAAGTTAGGGCAACATTTTAGGAAGCTGGCATCCTGATTCCTTTGATGTATTGGAAAGCTTAGTCAAGTCAAAATCTCTGTTCAAGAGTTTCTACATCTGCAAAATAAGGAACCCCATGGAATGATATCTGCGTTTTGTTACCCTATGTATATACTTTGACATCCTTTGCTTTCTCCCTCAAAGAGCTGGCTGTTTTTGCCCTGCTAAGACAGCACAACTAAAGATTTCCTCTCTCCACACAAAGCATGACAACATTGTAGTTTAATCCCTGCGCACTATGTGGGAGATGCCTGTCTGTTCTGAGAGTAATGAGGCATCTTAACAAATGTATTTCCATAAATGTTCTAAGTGTAAATCATCTTGTTTTCTTTTACCATTCACGTGTCACTGATATTTGAGCACTCTGAAAGCATTTATCTTGGTTCATAAAGACAAAGTAAAAAGGGTGCTCATTCCCATTTTTAAGGGACTGGAAACAAAGAAGTCAAAAGTCGTTTTCAAGGTCATACAGGTATCCTGCTGCAAGTTGGGAAACAGACCATGTGTTTTCATGTTGCGCTGCCTGGATTAGGAAAGCCCATCTGGAATGTTGTATGGGAGTTTGGTCAATAGATGACAAGCATGAAATGCAAGGAAACAAAAGCAATGTCATCTGAGAAGAGTAATCAGCCACATCTTAGTCATGACAAAGAATTAAAGCTGTAGTTGGGGTAAACAATTTCTGCAAAAGTATTTCTACATATTATTCACTGTGTAGCTCTGAAAACTGTCCAAAGTAACAAGAAATCTAAAGGTCAAATCCTTAGTTAAATCAGTAAATTCCAATGACTTGACTAGGCTGGTACTAATTTTGTAAACACAAAAGATTATTATTATTTTTTTATAAGTCATTTGAAGAAAAAAATAGAAAGCACCATAACTGAATCATGGTGGTGCA